ACCAACACCTCGACTCGACGCTCCATTTGTCGTTTAACCGAATCAAAATCACAAAATACCCGGACCAAACTCTGGATTGGAAATTTGGCGCCATATGACTTCAGCTGTCGCTGCCTTTTTTCTCACCCCAGCCCATCGGCTTCAAGCTTTCGCTGGCCCCTTACTGGCACTGCACACACTCCGGCCAAGGTCAATGTCGCTCACTCGACATCTTCAACAACAGCATCCTGCGCACGCTCTTCCTCCTCCTCCCCTTCAGCAGTCTCTGCTGGGGGCTCTCCACAGCTTGCGCTAGCTGCTGGCTCAGCTGACTCAGGTCGGGTCTCGTCACCTGCGCTTCCATGACACACTTGACATGGACACCTGTTTGACCTGACATAAGTTCCAATACAGCCTTCACATTCGGCTGCCAGAACCTGGAACATAGTAGCCTCGTTCACAAGACTTCGATCAAAATTTCCTGCAACCCCAAATCAAAGAGAAATTGAGCACATCACTGCCACTTCGCGAGCATACTTCACCGACTTCCCATCCAGAAGAGCCTTCCTGGCAGTCTCCTTAGCGCTGAGTTGCTGAGTGTCTTGCAGAGAAAAGAAAACAGCAACGGCTTTGCACCAGTGGCCGAGCCCCTGACTCCAATCTCTTTCAAGCGATCAGGTTGCTTTTCGAACACCTTCAATGACCCAACCTTGATCCAGGTTAAACTCAAGCAACCGCGCCATGAATCCTAAGTGGAACTCGTGTTCAACGCTGCCTGAAAGGCTTCATGTCCATCAACCGCACAAGCGAACTTCCCCGATCTCTTGTAGAAACTCAATGAACTGACAGTTTTTTTCCCTGGCAATGGATGACTGGCAACAAGGTTTGGTCGACTCCATCCATCAAATTCAAAGCAGCACAAATAACATGTTGAAAAACAACTCGCGTCAGAAACGGCCTTCCCCCATAAGCCAAGAAGACGGGGCGTGCAGGTCCATTCGGGTGCGACTCTTTGGGGCTGCTTTTTTTTTTGGAGTCTTTTTGGGAGGCGTCGCATCAGGGGGCGCAGCAGCAGCAGGTCGCTTCATGGCGGTCGGTCCAGTGGGTTCAGGGATGGCAGTAGCAGCAGCAGGCTTTCGCAAAGCAGATTTGCGCTTGGGTTCAGGCTTGGCCGTGGTTTCATCAGCATGTTCAGCCTCCATACTCTGCTCTACAATACTCTGCTCTACGTCTGCGGGTCCCTCTTCGGCGGTCGCTTTTGCTTTTGCCTTGCTGGCGCCTTTTGGTGTTGCTTTTAACTTCGGAAGTGATTTGGCCTGTTGTTTTGCCTTGGCTTTTGGTTTTGCTGCAGGGGTGGGGGCAGGCAGTACAGGAGCACGATCGCCACCATCCTGACCAAGGGGCGGAACGCCGAGTTTACATAATAAACAATAAGATTGGGACAATTTGACAAGCATGTATTCTCACTCGCCTCTGAACCTGACAACTGATCTACAGGTGCAAAAACTCCCATCTTGGAAAGTGTTTTGACACACGAATGGCTGAGAGCAAAACTCCTGCGATTGCATGCAAAGCAATGAAAAAATGGCAAGTCGGTGACTGAATTCCTTTGCTTGGCTGGCCATTCTGCTAGAAGAGTCAGAGCTATGAAAAATAATAGTGTTGGATCAGAGATCCACGCACCCCAAGTTTTTGCATGATATTTCTCAATCAGACTTGAAGTCTCGGAACTGCCAGCATGTCTGGAAAAAAGTGGCAGCGAGCGGGCTCAGGTGAGCTTGCTCCAATTAAAATGGTTTTGGGCCAGCTCAGGTAAGCTTGGTCCAGCTCTTGGCTGGCAAGGTCAAGCGACCCAACACGTACACCTTCGGCTTCAGGCCGACGATTTTGGCTTTTCCAGCACCTGTCTGTAGTGAGACCTTCCGGGTAAAGGCGGTACACAAAATTTATCAAAATTTGGTTTACAATCACCGCACATCTTTTTTTGAACAAACCACGTGACATGCCTCCCACACCAACTTTGCGAAACGACCCTTCGGCAACTTGTCCATGTGGTTGACCCACAACGCACCAATCGAAGCATGCCTATAACCAAGAACGATGACGAGGTTTTGCTATTATTGAATAATCAATGCAACTCACTGAACATGTTTCAAAAATGCAGTCAAAACACTTAGGAGACTCTGACCCTTTCAAAGCATTCGGAACAAAGGTATTGCATTTGCCGGAGCGTGCGGGAGTCAGGGAATGGCGATAGGGCACAGGCAGCGGGTCTTTCCCCTCCGCAGCCTTGCCGAACAGCTGCGAAGGAAACCCAATCAAAGAAACGCGTTGAAACAACCTGAGCAGAAAACACATGAAGCACGGACTTTCCTCTGGAGACATCCACGTATTCCACTATATAAATAACACCCCAACCGTTTACCACACATGGCTCACCTCATAGAGCTTCTTTGAGACTTCATGGTCAGCCAACTCAAATTCGGCCACGCCATGGACAACCGACATCTTGTGAACCAAATGGGCCAGCGACAAAGGGGTTTTGTCTAAGGACACAATCTGCAAATCGTCCGCGAACCGAAAGGGAATGCAAGCAAGCTCTCGCTCCCCTTGACCTGTCACGCCAACGCCAACCAATTGGTGATTCAAGAGGCTTAACCGTCAAACAAGCAGGGTATATGGAGAGCAAATGCTTGCCGGCCTGCGACGACCTTCTGGTCATACACACCGAGGTTAAAGCCACACAATTCGGAAGCCTCAAATTGGACCTCTGAGTCGCCCTCGTTCCCAACCCAGAGAGCAAAGTCAGCATCAATCACAATGGACGGCTTGCCACGCGAACCAGCAACATATCCCTTCCTGCAAGGTTCCAAACACGCACGTCAGCCAAAAAACTGGCGTCGAGTGACACACATTTCATAAAAACCATGATGCAAGAAACTACATAAAGGAATTGCCACACAACCCCCACGCCCCGCCTTGTCACAGAAAAGTCGGCCTCCTTGACAATGGCAGGGCGAAGCTCTTCAGTCAAATCAACTGGCACTGCGCCTCCATCAACTGAGAAATCCGGCTGGCCAGTTGCCCTGATAGTCCTCTGAGCCTGACTCCCTTTCCCTCCATCCGCACGTCCGGACCCCGTTGACGCGTCAGGGAATGCTGCCAGGAAGGTCTTCCTCATCTCAACGATGTGATTGTGGCCCGCCGTTCCTTCAGCAAATTTCTCCAGCAGGTTGGAAGGAAATCGCGGCGCATTTCCTGTCCAAGAAAGGAGCTGCAGGTCGGGATCTGGGAGTGGTTCAACTGCTCGGGCCTTTGGAGGAGACCCCGCAGCTGTGTCCCAATGTGAATAAATGAGCTGTTCAAAATCCGGAATGACATCCTTCTGCTCCTCTCGCAGGAATGCAATGTAACACACTTTGGGCTTGGCATCCGGTTCATTCAGCATCCGCGAAAGCGCTGCTCGCCCAAACTCGCAGTGCCTCCCACGAACTGTTCAAATAAAAAAACTGATTCATGCAATGACAGGTCAAACATGCAGGAAGGAGCATGACTGAATAGAGCGCTTAAGCCCGCCTGTTTGGCAGCAAGTCTGCCCACACCACAACACCGTTTTCAGGAATATCAACGCCGCGCACATAGTTCTTGATGATGTGGAGATGGGCTGGCACTCCCTTCCTGCGAAACTGTCAAAGAACGGTCCGGTCGACAACCATATGTCTACAAAAGATACAACTGAATATATTCTTTAAAAAAAATATAGATATATAATATATATATATAGTTATCTATTTGTTCGGTATATTTACCTGACGATTGAGAAGAAGCAGTCTCAAAATGCCCTAAATGCTGATTGAGCTTCTGCTCAACCCTAGCTGAAGCGCCAGGCCGGGCGCCTGTCTCCGCGTCATACCCAATCATCTCGTTCACACGAATGAGGGGATGTCTTGAATGAGGTTTTGCTGGGCCACAGAACTCTCAGCCCATGAGTTGGACTCATGCGTTGCGCTCGTCACCAGCAAGGCTGGCTGCACCAGCAAGCGCTTGTCCTGAGCCCCACAATTCGCCGGCTTCTGGAACATCAGCGCCACATCCTTGGTACAATCCAAATTACAATTGCACAAGCCGTCCTCCAGGCTCCGTCGATGCTTCAAAAGGGCTTGTGGCAGAGTCTGAGCCTGGATGACTGGCATTTGGAGGTGGGCAGCGTTTCGTGGGCTCATTGCCAAGATCGAATGGAGAGCCGTCATGCAACTTTGCAAGTGGGCAGCATTTGACGGCCACACCACACAGTCCACGCCCACCATGACGAACCTTATTTGGAGGTCTCTGCACCACAGACCCAAATCAAGAACGTTGCATTTGCGAGGACATGGTTGCGCGTGGCGATCCTTTCTTAAGGAACAAAGAAAGCATTGCTGCGACCTGCAACCTAGCAACACCTTGCCTGTGACGGACTCCTCACACTCCAGCCGAGATTGAAACTTGGCAAAATCGGCGAAGAAAGGCTGGCCACCCTGAACCACCACCAGCTTGCAGTTGGCCTCCATGAAGTCCTTGGTGTATTTCTGCCCTTTCCTCAGCTGGCGCAAGAGCAATGGACAAAACAGCTGCAACTCAGTTTTTCAATGATAGCCGCTGATAGCCTCGGAAAAAATGGTTAGTGCGAAAGACAAAGCCCTTGATTGAGCTTTGACGAGCTGCAACTGGCGGTCTGCCAAGTACTTTGCATCTAAAGCAGCTTCACGCGCCTGCTGCTCCTGAGTCGGAGTTCGGGACTTGAGGATCTCCATGTCATGGCTGAACTTGTGCTGAATTTGGTCGACGGTCGCTTGAGTCAACCTGTCTGCAATCTCTCGCTCTTTATCCTGCATCTCACGCGACCGCCGGACCTCCACAGCTTCCACAGTGGTTCTGACAGGGGGCAAGCCAACTTATTGTTTATATTAGTTTAGTGTTTTGCGACGCATGGCACTAGCTAGCAAAATGTGTTTGGAATTCTTTACGTGGCATGCATTTCTTCAATAAGTGTCTCTCACCACAACCCATGTCCGCACAAATCGAACGTTCTTCAGCTGGATCGGTGGAACAGATCCCTCCAAGAATGCCAGTATCTCATGGTCCAGAACGCCAAGAGAGAATTGGCTCTTGATCTCAGGCTCAGCTGCTGTGAAATCAGCCGCGGGAACGTTCTTTTGAAAGCTTTCCATGATCCCCAAATAGCCTCCACAGGCTGCGTGAATCACGCTGGCATCCTTCCACGTAAAGGCTTTCTTCACACCAACTGGAAGTCTATCCCAATCCCCCTTGAGACGCTCCAGAAAAAGGCTGGCCTGGGCTGTCTTTTCACGCGTTGAAGCGAATGACAGCACACAATAAGATCATATGAAAACCAATATCGCCCTTAAAGTTTTGTGGCAATGACTCATCAATTTAGTTCTTTGGCAGAATCAAGTCACAAGTTCGTTGTTCTGTCCGTTTGTCAAATAAGCGGACCATTGCTCCAAACCAGCAACTTGGGAGGTGAACGATGTATTGAAAATGCCTTTTGAAAGAAGGTCGTGGGTGACAAAGGATCTCATGCCCCGGGTCCTTGTTGCCGACTTCAACTCATCCACAATGTCGTGGTGGATTTTGCTCTGCAGGGCCACTATCGCTTCTGATTCCAGCTTTCCTACATTGAAGGCGCGGGCCACCTTGCCTGCGTCGTTCCATTCCTTGCAAAAGCTGTGGACAAGACATGTGGCTGCACATGACATTACAACCCCTTTCGGATTCCTGCTAGGCTTAGGTTGTAACCTCTTTAGGCACAGCATCTTGTCCACACCGGAAATACCACCATCTCCAACGCTACAAAACAAAAAAGATTGGGCTTCAATCTGAAAGTCTGTAAAGTCTGCAGCTTCACCGGCTTTACCCAGAACTTCGAACTGACGGAGGAAATTCATGGCGTTGGGCGCCTTTCTTGTGCCCGTGGTGGCCATGGTCACACCTGCCCGAGCACACAAGCAGAAGCTATGAAGAAGTGACAACTCTGAAATGGATTGCCTCGGGCAGCAAAAACGGCAGCTTTGGTCGAGTCATATGCGCCCACGGTCGCGTGGATGATTTTCAGAGAAGCCTGCTGAACATAACCAGTTGAAATCAACTGACATGAGCCAAGTTCAAATCGCAATGTTGTTCTTTGGAAACCGTCAAAGCACCTAGACTCTCCACAAAAAAATCTGCGAAAGTGGAATAATGACACGTTTTGGACAATTAAGGATCCTTAAAGTTGTCGGTCAGCTCATCCAGCTGGATATCCAGACTCCGCACCCCTTCACAGCATATCAAAGCTGCAAGGCTGCGGCGCCAGCCCTTGATGTATGCGACCCCAAAGGGCCTGATGCTGCTGTGGCCTTGGCGCTGACTTTAAAACATGTGGCTCATGAGGAAATATATAATGACATGGGGATGGGGTGATTGAGCGGCGGACCATCTTCCTCATCTGCTGGATTGAGAGGTGGCAAAGGCTTGTACTTGTCTTGGAGCCAGGCGTCTGTGATCGGCCAAATGGCCAACTTCTCAGTCCCCGGATCATTGGGGTTTGTGCGAAACCTGACAGGAAGTAGTTGTTGCGAAACGGGAGTCTGGCAAACATCAAAAAACGACAATATGATCAATTCAGGCAACCCCTCACTCAGCACCAACTCCATCAACACCGTCATATCAAAGGGATCACACATCCCCGGGAGTCCGAAATCTGTACGGAATCCCAATTGCCACACCCTCAGCAGTTTCCCACCCACTGTGAAGTCCACGCTGTATTCCGTCCTGCCAAGTCTTCAGGGCCCAATAGTGAGTCTACCCGGCAAACAACAAACTCTTCAGACAGGACGGGAATGGTCCTGGGATCGGCCGGGAATGTGTTCTCCAGCCACCGAGCGAATCCGAAAGCGTCTGCCTGACAAGATCGTGATTGAAATTCATCTCTTTGCATTCGACGTTAACTAACTACAGCCTGCTTCTGATATTTCTGCATCAAATAGCGGTCCGGCCCGCCAGCCGGAACAACGGTGGATTCAAACCTGGACCAACCAGCGTCCACTTGACACTCACTATGTAGCACGGTAATGAAAGCGATCATAAATCTCAAACTGCATGTCACTGTAATGGAATCTAGCAACCATTCAATGATCCTGCCAATGTGGGGGTACTTCTCGACATTCCCTGAAGGTTTCTCATTCGATTTGCGACGCTTCTGTGGCAAAGCCAAGCCCATCGTGGGGCGCTTGCCCATGGCTTCCCCCACTTACCAAGTATGAGCGACCCACACGCACGCGAAAAAACTGACGGCAGCGTGCAAAATTCACAGAATTGCAAAACACGCACCAAGCAAACACGGTGTGAGTGAACAAAGCATGTGCTCCTTGTTTCTCAAAACGTTATCTCCGGCACTATAGGTTCGTCTTGGCCGCACACATCGATTGGCCTGCCAGAAGCAGGTGAACAGCGAACAGCACATGAACCATCAACATGACCATGTCAGCGCCCATGTACTTGCCTACTGGCTGGCTGCTCAAAAACCGTGCAAAGGCTTCTTTTTCCAAGGAAGCGGTGCTTAAAGTATCTACTTTTCGGGCTCAAGCTTGATCCACTTCACCTGCCCCTTCTTGGAAGCTGACTTGACCTGCTTGGGTTTGGTGTGCGCCTCTGGGTTCTCTAAGATCCATGCAAATATAGCGGTGCAGTTTTGCCCGAACAGGCCCATCCCCTCTCGATCAACCAGAATGAATGACTGACCCCACGGTATCACATCGCAACTCACCTGATGGCGCTCCCTGTTCTGCGGCAGCCACATAAACTGCTCAGGATTGGACGGCGGTGGAAAAAATTGGAGCCCCATGGTATTGCCTCGTGCGTCCTTGATTTGACGCACCACAGCCACCTGAATGCATTGCGCAATGTCCACCTCGCCAAGAAGCATTCTAACCCCACAGCTCGAACTCTTTCTGGTGGCCGCTAGAGCCACCCGCCCCCGACGGGCACACCGGGTAGTTCTAAGTTCCCAATTCTTCCCTTCGTGCAATATCTTAGAGATCCATTTCTCATGTATGAGCAGAGCTCGATCAACGGTCATGGCAGGCCCACCCCACTTGCATACAAAAAACTTGTTGGTCTTTGAGCCACATCATGACAACAGCTAATCTTTGGTTAGCAAAAAAGTTGCTTCGCCTTTCACATCAACGCCATCATCCCTGCGTCCGTTGAATGAAAAGCTTTTCCAAAGCCTCAGCCCGCACAATTTCCCAGTTGAGCACTTTGCGCCACTGGCTTCTGTGTCCGAAATGGCTTCTGTGTCAAAAACCCGCAGTCAGTGTCATTGCTGCATTTTCGTTCCATCTCTAGAACTTCAATTACATCGAACATAGTGAAACCTACATGGAACCCAACCATAACACTCACAACCGTAACAGCAAGAGACAGCATTAAGCTTGATAGGTCAAAGCAAAAACACCCTGCTGCTCATTAATGGCTTACTCCCTCCCTCCCCCCCTCCGCGCTGTACTTGCACACACCGTCCGAAGTGTCCAAAGCAAGGTTGGATCAGACACTTCCTTTAACTATATAAAACCTACTTCCTATCTATTTTTTGATCAGTATTAAATAGGAACAAAATGCTGCCCTTTTTTTTGCGGACACGTTTAGGGTTTAGGGTTTAGGGTTTGGTTGCAGCGCTGCAAACCATGCCCCAAAGTTTGCCAGACCTACCAGGACCAACTGAAAGCGCCAAGCCCCTGCACTAATTCCTATTCAAATTGAAACCTCAACCAGTGTCCAATCCAAGGTCGGATTAGACACTGAACCCATATTTAAAAATAGAACGATAATATTTTTTCAATCAGAGATATGGGCCAACAAACACACATGTTGGAGTAGTGTCCAATCCAACCTCGGATCCGACACTTCTGAACCAAACTCCACAATACAGGTTCAGTGCCGGATATTCTTGTTTTCTCCAGTTCAGAAGTGTCGGATTTCTTCCGCTAGAATACCATAGCCATTTCCCAGAATTGGTTCTTCCCCTAAAAGACTATAGAGTTAATTGATGCAATCCTTTGGAAGTGTCGCATTCTTGGCCACACGCATTGTATGAAGTGTCGGGACTTTGGGCGGTTTACGGTGGAGAAGTGTCGGATATTCGATCACCATCGTGTACAAAAGTGTCGGATTTTCAGCAGTCTCCATTTCTAAAAGTGTCGGATTGTCATTCCTAATCTATGGACATCAGTGAATCTCAGGAAACCCTTTACAAGTCACAACCTAGATAGGTTGAGAGGCCACTTATTATATAACGCCATGTGGCCCTGGGAAACCACGCAGCGCTTGATTCCGGCCTTGGGTGGGCTATTGTGTGGGTAAAACCAAAAAGGATTCCAATACCAGAGCTAAGCTTGAAATGGGCACCATAGCAGCACCAAATCAGAGCCTGCTGAGCAAGCAACCCTTAGAAACCAACACCCGGATCGAAAACAGGTGTCCGGAACAGACTGTTTTTGAGCGAGTAAGAGGAATTTTCCGGACACCTTCTTCGCTCACCCTGAAAGGGATTTGGCCGTGTTGAAAATTTGGGACGCCGGAAATGAAGGAACATCACATGGAGCGTTGGCTCAAATGAAGTAAATGCCGCAATGCCACTTTCAAACATTCCGCCGAGCCCTTCCTTTTGGAAGAGGCTTGGCCTTCGCTTCAGCCTTCTTCAAGGCCTTTTCAGATATGTCGAGCGCCTCCGCCCAAGGCACGCCTTTACTCCAAGCATGCGCTGCAGATTCAAGTACAATTCGCTCCTTTGCGAGACCCACATAGACCCGAGCGTGCTTGCGATCATCCTTGCCAACACCCAACCTGGAGCACACTCACATCAGGCAAACCCCCATGAAACCTTATTGGTTGCTTGCTGTTGGGTTGAGCCCGCTGGCGGAAAGAAAATAGAAATGATCCAAATGTGAGACGAGGAGCTCAAGTAGATTACTTGGCCGCTCAAAGTCCTGCGCAACAGGGCCATCTCCAGGACCACCAAACGTTCTGATAGCACACCTCACACTGAATACGGCGATGGCTTGCTCACACAAAAGAGGAGCAACAAAAACTACAAAATTTAAAACATGTCTTGTGAAGAGTGCCCTTTGTATCAAACAAGGAACGCGCTGGCATCCAACAGAGGCTCCAAAGGAAGCTTGTCCAACACCCAGGCCTCCATATATTCCGCAGCTTCAAACATTTTGAAGCTCTTCATCACCGGCACGTGCTTGAGGATCTGGTCCCTCGTTTTTTCATCGATCACATTCCTCTCAGCGATGCCTCCCGCAACACACCGCGACCCCCGAACATTAAAGGCATAAGCTGAATACAGGGAACCTGCCAACAAGATAACGGCCCACCCTCGAACTTCAAAAAGACATCAAAACCAACCCAAAAACGACAGTAAATTTAGCTCAAACTGCGGAATTGTCGAACATGAGCAGTATCCGGCGCAATGGTGGCTAGGTCCAATCATTTCCATTTCCCGCCCATTGAGTCGGAAGTGGCTTCCAATTGTAAAAAAGGGCTGACCCGTAACAAACAGTGTTTTTCAACCGCGCAGCTTTTCTTCCCCTGACGCCTGCAGGAAGACCAATAGGCAAACGTGCTTTGGCTACTTCACGTGGAAAGTACACTGCGCCGAAGTTGTATGTTGTAGTTGCCATGTAGCGTCGTGTCCTCAGTGAGCTCAGCTGGTGAAAAGCAACTTTACCTTCCAGTGGGCAGAACTTCACGATTGATAACCTAGGGCCAACAAAGAATTGAAACAATGAAAAGACATCCACGGCTCTCCAAAAATCGGTGCTAGGTGGGACTAAATTTAGCTTCCGATTTAGAGTGGCCCTTTCCATTGCACAGCCAAAGCTCCGAAGAATTACATCATCTCTGTGAGGTGGCAGCCCCCAATATCTATCAGTAATGGGCAGGCTACCTTCGCCCGTTGGAACCTCAGACCTGCGGTCCAGTTCAAAGCAATGAGGAGCACCGGGACCTCCAATTCCTCTGAGATTCACTGGAACACCTTGAGATAGAAATCCTTTCCTGGGATTGAGAGCCACAATGATTTGACCAAAAACCAACAACCAACAAGCTAGCTGTTCCAGCCAGTCCCAAAAAAACTCACAGGGGAAACAACGTTAAAGCCACACACATCACTTGCAAGCAAACCACCAATCCCGACACTGGTCCACCTGAACCGCATAGCGACCCTTCTCGTGAACTCGCGTCACCCCATCTAGCCAATCCTGTATGATTGTACGAAATTCGGGAGGGCCAACTGCCTTCCGAGCTCTCTTTGCAAGATGAGATGCAAGCAGGCCAAAAGCCTGATCCACGTCTTCATGGGAGTGCCCGCTACGGAGGTTCCGTAGGCGGGCAGCATGAATGATTCCTTGAAGGCGGGGCAGACACACGAAATCTTTCACAGCAAAAAGCAACACAAACATGGGCGCAAGACCCACACATCTAGGGATTGACCCTCGATCCTACAACACACAAGTCAACGCGAGTCAAATTATGGCTCTTTAGGCGAATACAACCACAAGGATTCAATCAGCGTCCAGGTTCTGTGGCTTACTAAACTTGCGAGGAACCGGATGTATGGGTTGTTTTTAACTTCCCTGGCAGTATTGTCTGATTGGATGTTGAAGGTGAGCTTGCTGATGTCCATTGTCCGAGATAGCAATTGAAGAGCGTGCGCAGTCAATTCTATGCTCATATTCGAATCCTTGGGCAAGTTGGCAGGGCTGACGCTGAATAGTAGGAAATGACCGTGGCATATCATTCCAGTGATGTGTGCACGAGGTCGGTTCAGTGTAGCCAGTTCTTTTGCCCGGAACAGCTCTGACCGCGGGTATGCGAATTTCCCCTGGTCCATACCGTCGAGGATCAGGGTTACTTCGAAGGGTGAGTCCCTCGAAGTCCCCCTGAGTCCCCAATAGGTCAGACGGTCTTGGTATTGTGCTCGGAGGTGCGCAGCAAACAGGCGGTGTTGCTCTTGTCGTGCCCGGAGGTGTCCATGGAGCTCTTTGATCATTATCTTATGGTGGGTGCAAGTGCTGCAGATTGTGTGGGACGATGTACTCCTGAATAGAAGAAATGGAAACTCTTCCCGCCACACTCGCCAAAATGTTACGAACCCACACGGTGGACAATCGGAACCGCCAGCTGCATTCATCTGCTCGTAGTAATCACGCATGCAGCCCGGGGGCAGGAACCGCAACTCACGCCCTTCAAACCTCTGGGTGTTGATGACAAGGGAATTCTTTCGGGCGCGCTTACCTTTCTTTCTTTTCTGTTCCTTGTCACCTTCTACCATTTCTGATTCATGTGCCATCAAAGCATCTGCGTACGCATCTGCAAGCTCGGGCAAACCTTCAGCCACGTCCCCATCCCAGTCATCCCGGACGTCCGGAAGGGTTTCAGCAATGGAGTTGTACACAGACTCAAGGAAGCTCACAATCTTGGCCCTACCCTCACTGGGCACCACCTTTGGCAAGCCCTTTCTCAGGTATCGCATGTCAGCTGGCGCAGTTTGGTGGCCAGCTCGGGAGTGGGCAACCAAACGGTTGAAGCGATGACTTCCTGATCAAAAACATTGTGGAAAAACCCACGTGTGAAATCCTGTGTGGTGGTCTCACCCCAGGACAGAACACCCAGCCACAAACAAGAAACGGTTGCCAAACGCAGCTCAAAAACCTACGCTGTGAAGTCGCTTCCAACTTGCGACACACACCGGCCGCCCCAGGAAGGACCACTGCACACGATTGCCGCCAGGCCCACTCTCTATGGTTCTGCGGACGCGTTCAAAAGCCTAGTTTCTGCCGGCTGCTCAAACAATGACAGCCACAAGGACATTACAACCATTAACGCGTTCATAAAACACATTATTTCTAATTTTAGCGCCGCAAACTACAATATTATACAATGGCCGAAAGAATGAAAGGACTTGCCAGTATTCTCCAAAACAAGCTGCAACTTGGTCCTGGTCTAGCTTGTCCAAAGCAACCCAGTCAGAACGGAACGTCTGGAGCTCCCCAAATGGCCCAGGCTTGGCAAACTCGGCCATGCAGTTCTTTGGGCAACATGGCTTGCCACCAAGCATTGCTCTCAAATGCGTCTCATCGTCCAAAGGCGCCCGAGCGTCGGCTGGCGACCTCTTCCGTTTCTTTTTTCTTTTCTCGGGGCTTGGGCTTTCCCCAGAACTTCTACTCAAATGATCGATTGGCCAGAACGACGCAACTGCCTCTCGCTGGTCACCCGGAGCCTGGCCTTCTGAATCCGAATCACTGGATTCATCACTGAAGGTGCTTACTGCAGCAAACGACATTGGTTCTCCAAGGCCGCGCCCAGTGGGCGTCACACAAGCTTAAAGCTACAAGCATATACTACCAGTCTGACTCAGTATCAACCCTGGAAATTGGTCAACGCTGTCCCATTATCTCTCTTCCATGTAGAACATCAAAGGGCGTTGTGTAAGTTCTGACACATTCTGACTTCAAGTGTTCACACCAACATCAAACAATGACTTCTGGTTCCAATGGCGGCGGAATTTAAAAGTCTTTCTTGAAAACTGAATTTCGCCACTCAAACAAAACCCTTTCAACACCTTCGAACTGCAAGCCCTCGAGAAACGGATCGCCTCATGGTAAGGGCCGTTGAATTGACCTTGCGCAGGAGAGCCATTTCGCCCATTCACGTCTCCATCCTTGAACTTTTAAATTACACAAAACAATGAATAACTGCTTTCAGTGTTCTGACACCGGAAAATGAAATGCCCTGCAGCTGCATCCCTACTCACTAACAACACGTCGAACATTGCTGGGAGCATTCGTGGCGGTTGCAAGACCCAAGGTCAGAAAACCTCCAAAGAGTCACAATTAAGAAACGCCTCATTTTGGCTCAAGCACCCGCCCCAACACGGTGGAAGTGAGGGACCAGCGCAGCCTGAGCGCAAAGAATCTCAATCCAGCGCAAGAATATCAATCAAGCTATGACCCAAGGCATGGTTGCACTGCAATCCGTTTATTGCACTTTACTGTGATGGTGATCTCCAAGGGTCTGGAATTGAAGAGCGGTCGAAGAAGCCCAAATAATTAGTGGTGCACACACGAATTAATTAGCAGGTGAAAGTCGTCAACTCTTGTTTTAACACACACACTTTGACAACTGAAACATCACAGATCTAAAGCAGCTTAACCATTCCAACCTGCACTTAGTAGACATGGAGAAACGCTGGTATACCGGCAGCTGACCCCAGCATCTCTCCGTGACGCAAGTCACAAGCGTTTGCCAGTCGGAGACCCAAAGTTTGAGGAAACAAACATTGGCCATGAACCATTTGTTAAACTGTTAAACCATGTAACAGTGTGGAACTGTGCCCTCGGGACACCTCAGTTGGCATCCAACTTCACTCGGGCTTCTGACAAGATAGCAAGGGCCTTACGAGCCTGAAGGGGCACTACAATGTTGCCCATCGTCCTCAGCCGCTGCTGATCTGCTTCCGACTCAGTTGACGTCAACCACAGGTGGATTGGCAACGAATTGCCCGGGTTCCACATCCCCGTCACGTCGATGGAATTCTTGAACATCTCCTGTTCACTACACAGCTCAAAATAGAAACGGACAAACACAAAAAACACCAAAACAAGCTGTATCAGTATCTCAAGGCGACAAGCACCAAAAAACAAGCTGTCCGGAAATTGGAAGCCCGCCGTCGACGCAAGCAAGAAAACTCGTTTGCGGTCGGCCTTGATTGACGTCATAACCCTTGCGTTATTAAAGAAAACATGGGGTCTGGGGGTCTGACCGGAAGTCCGACGTTGGACAGTCGCAGGCTGCACCAGGTCAGCTTGAGATTCCTCTTCCGGCACGCCTGACATTAATCAATTGCTGCTTCAGACACTCAACGACTTTCAGAGGGCTATCTTCAAAGGCTTTACAAAACTCATTCCACTAGAAACCCACCACCCGCATTGACAGGCCGGCCTTGATGATGTACAAAAACAGTTTCCGGCAGTTCGGAGATTTTGACAGCAACGCGCCCACATTCTCTAAAAGAATTGCTTCCCTCGGAGCAGGAGCGCGCAAAAGGAAAGTGGCAAAGTTATTCAGGGGCTTGTGAAGTCAATGAAATGTGGAAGTTGAGGCTTCGGCCCCTGTGGCAGAGCATCCCAAACACGAAATGGTTCTGAAACCAGTTTGCTACGGGCATCCAGCAGACCTTGCTGTCTCCCTGCTGAGGAGACCCCCTGGAATCTGAAGAAAACACAAAACGCGTGTTTGCAAAGTGTTGGTTTCAAGGTGCTGCCAGAACCCGGCCTGACAGGGGAACCCTGCAGTCACAACTTGTGCTCTCGCGGATTCCGTTGAGATTGCCGGATCAAAAGAGAGCACATCGTTGGATATTCCACAAGTCGGAAGGACTCCGTCCGCCATGCGGGCTTTCAAGACCCGAACACAGAAAGGGTCCATTTCAACCTGCCACACGAAAACCACCGAACACAGAGTTGAAATTGACAGCGCTACAAAGAAAAATCAGTCCCTGGCCATGTGGACAACACGAAGCCACCTGGCTTGTTCGATCACTAGCTTGGCGGCTTTAGTTGACAAGCTCGTCCAAACAAAACTCGATTTAAAGCTGTCACTGTGAATCTTGTCATGAAAACTGCTGTTTTCTCAGACTCGCATTCAGCGAGGTCGCTTTGGAGGCGGCTCCAAAACTTGCGGCTTCTCTCTTGGTGCTCCTGTGTTGTTGGGCTCGCTGACCATGGCAGCCTCCAAGTGGAAAAACATGCTTTGTACAATCAATGACCTTTGAGCAGGCCTGAGTTTGAGATGTCGTGACGGAACTTGCCCGCCCGCCATCGCTAAAGGACAGAAGCTGCTCGTCTGTGCACTGGACCCACTGCTTGTGCTGCCATACCCACCTGGCTGGCCACAAACCTTTACGTGTTTCGCCTCAGACCTATGTCAAGCACTAAGTGCCCAGCGTCAGATTTCGCCATTTACAGCATACTGGAGAGCCATGTGGGACCCTTCGTGCAACACGCTTGCGACACTTTCACTCCGCTTGAAACCAAAATGGAAACAGTACGAAGAAACCAAAATGGAAACAGTACGAAAGCATCGTTTCTGAAGATGAAAAATGCACCGCGGGCCTGCCTGATGGTATTCACCCCCACGGTCCGAATGGTTTGCCACTTGTCCATTACTTGCTACGTCGCGGTAACAAACGACATTGTGACATTGAACAACTGAATGAGGAGTGCTTCTATTTAAAACTCTGTCAGCTGCACCCTGTCGAAGCCAACGGAAACAATAGCAAACGTGGAATTAAAGCATTGACCCACAAAAAAAATCAAAAAACAAAGTCTGTAAGCAACTGTCTGAGAATGAGCCGGTGGGACCCCCTCAGGCCCAGCTCGAGCCCTGCAACCCCTGTGAAAAGGGATATACAAGGAACGCTTCCGGTATCCTGCGCAAAAAGTTTCGTGTTGAATCCGGCGCTGACCATGTAGCAGCAACAAATGAAATTGGCCTTGAACATCTTGTTCACCACAGCAGGGCGAACCGTTGCGTTTGGATCCGTCCATCCACTGGGAAGACCTGTCACGAGATGGAAAACTGTACAGAGATGATTGTGTGTGTTGTGGCATTCGTCACTTGTAGCATTCATCAGCCCACAAAGTAAATGCAAAGAAATGTGCTGTTGAAATCACGCCAAGCTGGCCACTAAACCACTCCGCTGCTTCAGGGCACAAGAATTGCCCCCGCTTCAAGTGTGCAGCTTCCACGTGAGACTTGTAGACGTCCCAGTGTTTGATCTGGTTGGCGAGGTCCTCAGAGATGGCAAAAACGGAGTCTTGTTCCATGCAAAAATTGGTCCAACAAAAACAAGAGCTAATTGCTTGGCGGGTACTGTGAGAAAATCAGGCCCTGACGTGAATCCCGCGTTCACTCACCTCCGACTTTGTGCACCGATGGCAAGCTCCGAACACACCTTGGCCCGCATATTTAACAGCAATCAATGGTGAGTAAGTGTTCCCACTGCTTTCAACAAGGCCCTGACGTAAGCAGCTCCACGATTTAAATGTACGTTTTCCTGTGAATATGGACGCTCCATTCTTCTTGCGACCGGCCCGGGTGTTGTCACTGACCTCAGACCCGCAAAGAAACCCACATGGCTTTCAAAACCTGAGCTCTAAGGTTTGGACCACTGTAAGATTCAAAGGGTTCGCTTTTTCGAGTGGGACGTTCAGCGCACGAATCCTGTTGCCAGCCATCTCGGCATGAGCTGGCATGGATACCTGTCAGGTGGGCTTGGGCGGACCAACAACCGGTTGCACTGCCAAGCCTCTGTGAAGTCCTTCGCTCGGAACACCTTTGACTGCTTGGCGCTCATCTCTGCAGGTTCCGAACCTGCTGCCTGCAGAAAGCGACCACCATGCACACAACAGTTTCGAGCGTTGTCATGATGAGTGAGAGAAGAACCGACAAGAAAATTGACAGGGAGGTTGG